GCCAAATACCCCACTGCTGATTGGTGAAACGTTCCATCACCATGTCACGTTGTACTTGAACTCTTTTGTATGCGCAGATGTTTGCGGTTTTATGCTGTTCCATGAACTAGTGTTTCCTGCCATCGTTTTTATGGGTAGCAGTAAACTTAAAAGTCTTAGCTTGAAGTGATTATTCTTCAGAGACGAAGGTACGGTCTGTTTAGCAGTGGATTTGAACAAAAGCTTTATCCTAAATAATATACACTCTCTTTTAGGATAACCGAAGATGGCCTTCTCTACCTGCTCACAGCATCGCCGCCAGGCAAATTTTCGGTAAAAGCCGATGTTGAGACAAAATTTGATTCCTCCCTCTCCAATGCATCAAGTGAGCTTGGCGTTAAGATCAACTGGTTACCTGGCAGCGCTTTCACGAACGGTATCCTCATTCGGGTTGAGAAGGCGACACTATCGTGGTTTGTCGACCAGGTCAATATCTCCGTGGTAAGTTCTATCGTATTCCCTCCATCAACTACCTATACTGAAATCAGTAATGCAGAATTTTCTCTTGCTAGTCGACACCACGAGATCGACTGGTTAAAGCGCTGGCTGAGAAGTTGGAGATGAATGTGGAGTCTATCGCAGTTTTTCCGGCTAACTCAGTTGGGGACGCATTAAACGTATTTGTGGGGATACATGCGTCTCCGTATGCAATACCTGGAAGGTGAGTAATATGTCTAGCAGATAAGTATTTAAGCTTTTGACTCAGTTGCCAGTAGCTAAGGTGGAGGGTGAAATGGGTGCCCTCGCTATAAGAATGGTTATTGAAAATTTTCTAAAATAGCGTATAGGAGTGTTTAAATTCATACTCGAACACAGCATAGATTCATCTAGATAGCGTCAGTTTGGTGCTTTACAAACCGATATGTGATCAGACACTGCTACTTCTCCAGAGTGGAATGACATCTGATCCCAAAAGTGGTGTCGTACTCCGCAGAATCCGGTGGAGCGATTTGTGTACTGATCTCAGATCCATCGATACTCAATATTTGCCCTCCTTTCAACCCTTTCCGCACTTTAATTTCATTTCTCTTTTTCGGGTTTATTGTCAACCTCATGCCGGTTTGGGGTTGTATATTCTTTCAAAAGTTAGGGAGTCCGCACACAAATATTCTTTTCTATCTACTATTCCAGCATCTTAAAACAGGTTCGTCTGCTAAAATGGCAAAATGCTATTTCAGGATAGTAGATACAATTGTCAACGACGCTGACCTCTATACCGCAGCTCTGAGAGACAACAACAACACTTTGCAGGTCGGCCTGGCTACTACAGTCAACGGAATGTCCGGGTCTGTGGATCTACAATGCGCCACAGAAGCAGTTGCCGTGTCTGTCTGCAACTGTCGTGGATGCAGAAGCCGGTTAAAAACCCCCCACATCCCCACAGAAGCAGACGCGTCAGCCGGTTTGACGTCTTCTGCATCCGGAGTTAGTGCCATTGGTCCCATTCTCGAGACTTCCATTGACTGCTGGTGCAATGGTGGAGATCCACAGCCACCAGCACAGGAGCCTATTTCCTGTCTGAGTCCCGACGCCTGCTTGAATGGAGGTTTTTGCAGGTATTTCCTGGATCAGCTAATCTTGATTTTCTATTCGATTCCTTAAATGGATGAGTCGCGGGATATAAGTAATCGCACATTTGCACTGAAATGACTACTTTGCCTTTGTTCCCTGGTTAAAATCTCAAAAATTAAGGTTCTCTTTCCTAAATTTGCCTGTTTTTGGATTTTTAGAATTTAGGCAAAGTTGTTATTTACGTCTGAGTTAACACATTCACTATCAGGGTTCCGGAGACTGCTCAGGCACCTCATTTTAGAAGATAGCTGTTTCATTGAGACACCTACAAAAGTACTACCAAACTAACCAATTCGCCTGTTTCTGAGAAATTAGGGAAAGGGTGGTTATTCTTTTATCAAAAATACTTTGCATCTATTCTTACAGTGTTTTCAGCTTAGCCAATCCGTTTGCCATATAATTTAGTCCATCCATTCACATGTCACATATTTGTGACGCCAGCTTCAGATAGGGTGGTAGTAAAAGCCAGTTAATTAGAAATAAATGCAATAGTTTGGTAACTGTTGTTAGTTTTTTAACCCAAGGACATTCCGCCACTTTGAATTCAGCATTATTGTCGGGAATGCAAAAGGTAGTTTAGTTACTGCTGCAGATCTTATCAGTGCTTACTAAATGGCCATTATTGGGCGACAACGACGGTATCATCTTGTCAAATTCACCATAAATAAACAAGAAATAAAGGTAGCAGACTTATTTGTTCGATTTTTGCCATTAAGCCAGTTTACTAATTGCAGGTCATTTTGTAGCCACTTGCTTTACTCTGGCTCGTAGAATATACCGCTGAAATGGAAGTACGCACCACTGATTGAAAAGTCCGCCTACCAAATCATTGCGTTTTGGCCAACCCTCTGCTTTGAAAACTATCCATTTATCAGGAATGATGACCATTTAATTTTCATTGAATCCAAACGTCAGTGATGCGTCGCCATCATCCCACAGTATCTGGGGTTTTGCCCTCTGTGGACCGCTTTGGGGAAGAGGGGTCCACTTGCTTCGTGCCGCCCAAGGTTGCAGGATCCTTTGTAATAGAATAACATGTCAAATGTATTAGAGGCAGTATCTTGTAGCGTACTCGAATAGTTCAAGTCTGCTACTACTTCACCTCCTGACCTGACAAAAGTTAATGTCGTTTTAGCCCTTTCGTTAGACATCTGCAGTGAATGCTCTTCTTCTGTATTTATAATGTTCACTATTCAGCTATAGATACCCTTCAGGTACCTTTTTGGATTGGATTCACTTTATTCTACTCGGACTTGAAACTAGCAGAGAAAGTTCACCTGTATTAATTTGTCGTTAAAATAACGATGTTTCCAGCGATGAATCCTGACAATTTTTTTCTCTGAATGGGTTTTGAGGCATCAGGCGTGTAGCATTGCATCGGCTTTGGCATAGGCCTTTTTCCACCCGAATTCATCTTTTTTATCAGCGATGACTCGTTTCTCTCATTAAATGTTTGGTTATCTTTTTTAGACGGACTAATAACTTCGTGTGGATTTCCTCAGAAATCTGATCAATTTTTGCCCACAGTATTTGGCGATTTCCAGCAATGTAACTACCGCTTCAGATATCTTAGCTATCGCTGCGTACCTAACTATAATGCCTATCCCGTTCAAAAATGCAATAACTTAATCAAATGTTCCATTTTTTTTTTCCAACCTGTCGTCATATACCACTCAAGTGACGATACTCCGTCCTTGAAGCAAGCCTTCGCCTACTCAATAACCAGGATTAATAGAATCAAGAGGGTGGCAAGACTGAATGGCTAAAGAAGTTCATTTAATCATCGGTATAGGTTAACCCAACGACTTTGCGTGTCTTGTTCACATAGCACCATCGAGCACAGATGGATCAATTTTAGCCTCCCAGTGGTACCCTTCAGCTTGCTCTCAACTTTCTTTTTTCTCTTTATTTTAAACTCCCCTATCACGAGATGCCAATTGAACTGATAAATGTAATTGTAAGCATGTCTTGTAACAAACTATGTCTCCAGTTTTCATAGTCTGGACTTTTTATGTGCGTGTGGTCGGAGTCCTGTCAACCTCCCACCCAGATAGGCGATAGACAGACTGCAGGGTTGATGTCTTTCTTGCCCACCGATTTTTGTGTACGAACCTGCACAATAGCCAGGACAGAATGCCCGAAACCGCGTACGAATCTGGTTTGCTTGGTTGCACATATTTGTACCGACTGATTGAACTTTTGCTTTGTATTATTATTCACTCATTTAAGGCGCAGTTATGCAAGGGAATGAGCGAGAAACGCTTTCTAGGGTGTTCGCGAATATTTTTTTTTAGAAGCTGCAGGCATCCTCAGCATATCTGCCTTACGAATTGAGTCTAACCAGGCTCCGGAGCGGCAGAACCTTCTAGTATGTGCAGTACGTGGTAGCGAAAGTACGTTCCGCCAAGAATCTGACGGTTCAGACAGTTTATTCTCGTAATGAATCACTCCTGCAGATCCATTACATTCAGAAGTATCCTTCATTCTTGTTTATGATGAAGACTAATGTATCATTATTGATAAAGGAAGAGGAAATTGAAGTGCGACAAAATCTACATCAACTAGGACTGGAAGGTTGTGGTGGAAGTGAAGCACTGAGTCCCGCTTACATATCATTCCCCAAGAAATGTCGACAAGCTCCGAACATAGTTTGCTGTTTACTCCTTCAGTACACATTATAAACAGACGCTGTTTAGAACTGGAATTGTTTGTTGACCGATTGATGTACCGACTTGTAGTAAAAAGCGGCTTTTGTATCTATTCTAACAATTCCCGAGCGGATACATATGCCACTGTTTATCCCCAAACAATCCATCCTCTCACACTTCTAAGGCAATCACCACTTTATCTCCAGAAGACTGTAACGTGTTTTGTGCTTGCAGAAGCAAAACTCATGCCAGCTCGTGCTCTGTTAGGAAAAATTAGTTTGTCATAGCAATTACTTCAATACAAACATTTTAAGGCATTATTAACCCGTGTACGAACTTGCTTGATTGCTTTACATACTAAAACTTCACACTTGATCGGTCATTTCATGCTGCGAATTGTTTGAATGTCGAATGATGGTGATCCAAATTATTCCTTATATTCGTGTTTAGTGTGGAACCTGGAACCCAGACAACAATTTGTGAATGTCCAGCTGGATTTACGGGTCCACGATGCGAGCAAACACAAATCTATTTTTCTCAAAGCGGTTACGCCTGGGCCCCGAACATCGGCAGCTGCACCCGACTTCACGTTCACTTCACCTTCAAAACACCGTCCACCAATGAGCGTGCTGGACTGCTAATGTACGCAGGCCCGATTAGCCAATCGGTTGCTAATTTGAAAACTCACGATTTCATCGGGCTCCAAATCGAGCCGGGAGGACGCCAACTCAAGTTGGCCTATAGTCTTGGTATAGCCGGTTTGTTGACGTCAACATTCACGGCCAACAGACGATTGGATGATGACAATTGGCACCTAATAGATTTAATTCTTCTGCAAAAAGTGGTAAGTGTCGGCTATTCTTAAGAAGGATTGATTATTAGCACAAATCAAAATCATATTAAGACAACGCAACTTGTCGTTTGTTTTTAGATCGCATACAAATTTCTGATTGCTAGAAAATGCCTAATCAAAAGGCACACCGTACAGATATTACTTAAAAGGCTCATAAGTAGGTTTAAACAAAGTGAAATTAAAAAATGGAAAGTGTTAATTGTTGTCGTAAAGTGATTAAAATGTCATTTTGTGGTGCTTTAGCTACCTCTGGAAGTGACTATATTGTCAGTGAATATAATGGCTGGATAACGATGGCATAGTTGACAGGCATAGGTCGTGTGTTCCAAATCGTGTAAATCAACAGTAAACTCAAAATATCTCATCATAAAAGTAGTTCTCTTCTAAAACGAACACAATAGGGGGAAATAATGTGTGAGTGCTAGAATCACGGCACCGTTTTTAAAACAACTACGTTAATCATCGTAGACCAACACGGAGGTGGTATTGATGGTTGACGCATGCAGTTTCAGTGAAGGTACAAATCAAGAAAATGGTCTCGAAAACCCACCAAATTTGGGAGATTGCCTCTTTTCTCTACCTCACAACATTGGAGTGAATCAAGCCCTTAATGTGGGTCAATGGCCATTGCAACTGGGAGGGCGAAAGTTGATTAGCAACGTGAATCTCTACCCTACTGAATTGACCACCAATCCGCTGCCTTTGGGTAGCGCTTTCAAGCATGTTCTAGTGAATGGCGAACTTTGGAATCTGGTTCAGTTTGATCCCATCCAGAGCACTTTACCTGGGCCTTCTGTCTGTCTCAATACTGAGGGGCAAGATGTATGTGCGCCTAACGTAAGTTATTTTTTCTACAACTTAAGGTTAGAGTGTAGCTTATGCATCCCGAACTTAATGATAGCGCGGATAAGTAAACCTTACTGATAATTATGGGATTCAGAAGAATGGTATATTTAGCTATAGTCCACAGAAAGGCGAAAAATGTAAAATCAATGAGGAATACGGGTCAGGTTTCCATGATCCTTCGTCTCTTCCGCTGATTTTCTGCCATGACTGCTAAAAGCCATCATTGACGCACTTTGAACCCCCGAAAAGCCTATATTCACCAAACCATTTACTTTCGTTCGTTATGTTTCTCGCTAAGGGTGTCTGCTGGGAGTCCAATGGTCAAGCGCAATGCAACTGCAAAGCAGGTTTCCAGGAAAAGAATGGACAATGTACTCCTTCTGTGTTCTCAGTTGAGCTTGGTCCACAACCGAGTTATCTTGAATTGACGTCCAACTGGGAATGGCCTAACCGGGTGCAGACCGAGGTTTCTTTCGACTTTCGAACACGCAGTTCAGATGGGACGCTTGTCTATCTTAGTGGTCCAGAGCCAAATTTCTACCTGTAAGTTAAATACTGCCGTTATTTACAAAATATTTCCCCATTTACTCTGCACCTGACATTTAACTATGGCACATGTGTCATGGTGTATCTTCAAGACTTATCCTGACAAGTACATGTAAATTGGGTTAATGTTTACTGAATGCAGCACAATTTTGAAGAAATGCAGAATATTCCCTCCGAAATTTGTGAGACATTCGTATTAATTTTCCATACCCAATAAGGTCAAAGGTCAGCACTTAATTTGTGCTGAAAACCACAGAATCGTCACACTTACTTCCGGAATTTAAAGGGTTTACAACGACCCCTTTGCTACAGTGAGATAAATGCTCTGTGAAGTTGTTCTTTCAAGGGATATTTTGTCCCTAGACACATTTGGCTAGTGGCAGCACCAGGAGAGGGTGATGATCACAGTGAAGAGGAATACAAAGAAACACAAAGAATTGGAATGATGATGAAGGCAGTTTTTTTACGAAACTTAGAAGTGTATCGTATGGAGGAGAAAGGTCTAAGGACTATTTGTTTGGCCTTCAGCACACAAACAGTTCCTCGTGAACTTCTCCCTCTGCAACCAACCACACACACGCAAAGCAGGCACAGTGGGCGCCTCAAAAGTGTGGGACGGAGGGGTAAAGTAGTAGGTCATTTGGAGGCAGCCAACGGTACAGTAAACGCACGGTCCACCTTTTACTATAAGTTGGGTAGTCAGATGGCCAGTCCGTCAGTCAGTCCGTCAGCCTGCTACCCAGCTATCAAACGATCCTATCTGATGGGTGATCGTTTTAACGTACATGAAGAACGGCAACCTGATGGTCTTTTAAGGCTGGTGTTATCTGTGTGTAAGGCATGAGGGTGGAACCCATTTTCTTGGTGGTTTACTTTCAGCAACATCCAGAATAGTCCCATAACTTATGGAAGCAAAAACCCCGCACACTTACATACACACTTAAGCAAATATCAGATTGTCAAACTCTCGGCCATCTCTCTTTGTTGAAATGTATCAGCAACTCCTCAATGGACATTCGTCTCTCCAAGACGCGATTGGAAGTGACAATCAACTTGGGCAACTTTGACATCCTTACCGTCTCCCCGGCCCGATCCCAGCTCAACGACGGAGCCTGGCACCACGTGCACCTCCAACGATCCCTCTCCTCTATCCTCGTCGAAGTGGACGAAGGCGCTGGCCGCGGTCTCTCTGCCTTTTTGCCTCTCGACCCTACCTCCACCTTTCTCAAGTTCTCCATTGGAAAGAAGGTGGGCTTAAGTCGATTGGCCCCAAGTAATGACACAAAATTCCTTGCTCTGATGTTACATTTTCGTCATACTCTACTGCGAAACACCCTGTGGATAAAATTCAACAATACCTGTCTTTTATGGATAAAGATTTTCGGTAGTAATAGAGTAGCGTTTACATTCTAGTGTAACTAGTCTTTATCGTGAAGACGAAATTAGTCTACGAGGAGCTTTCAGGCCAAATCTGGGCATGCGTCGTGATCCGTGTCAGACGTTGTTAAGTAAGATAGGACGCAATAGTGGTAGTACATGCTTGAAGCTATCGTTCCTGTGAGCGAACAAGGAGGCTATGAAATATTCCATTAGGATGTGACTTGTTGTACCATCTCAGGAGAGACTAATCATTCTTCAACGATGACCCCAGAACGGCCATTTACGTACATTTACAATTTCACAGAGCTAGCGCATACTGAATAGTACTGGCAAATCTCCCTGAGTTGGAGGCGTATCCCTATTTTAGCAGAGGAATTTGGAATCGGTCTCGTCGTGTAGTCCTTGAAATGTGCTCGTTGCTTGAATGAACTTCAAAGTCCTGAACTGGCTTGAACGACCTTCGCATTCGAGTCCTGAGGTATATCGGCGTTGTAGATACAGTTTGAAGTCATTTGACCTAATTCAGTGGTGAGATGCTTGAAGATTTTGCTGCGTCGAAGTGTATTGCCAGTACTGATAAAAATATAATGGATAAGCAGCAAAATATCAATAAAATGTTAAGTCGAATAAGAGATCCTACCGGTAAACTAAAAGCTTGCTGTCTCCTCCTGTCTCTTAACTGAAGATGCGGTTAAATGACCACAATTTTAAACTCCAACAATGCCTATGTTTACCACCGTTGTGCGGATTTGCGGCTCGTCGACAAATACGTCCTCCAATTCTTGGGGTTTAATAAAGCAACATCCCTTCAAAATATAGGACCTTTTAAATTTTCCACACCTGTTAAAAATCGTGAATTCTTCACGCAAATTTTGTAGACTCTTGCCCAGTAGGATATGCGCAACATAGTTGCAAGACATAAATGATTGTCTCTTGAAAAGCACCGTCCATCAGAGAGTCGTAAAATGCATAACCTTCACCAAAGGACTTCAAATCGCCATTGACTTTTGACATTTGAGGTGTTGCATTCAAGCAAATGGGGGAAAGGGGTAGAGAATTTGCCTTGCACCCCCAAGAATTCCTACAATTTTAGTGTCTAAGACTCCATCTATTAATTATTAGTTATTCTGCAGCCTGAGATGTCATATTTCACCTTCTTCTTTTAGTCGCCCCGGGTTGTAGTCTTTCGATTTGGATTACATTAGAAATTCCATGAAGCGCATCCATTGGTTTCAGTAGGGCAGCATTTATCACATCTAGTCATAGCTTTATTTATTTTAGATTCTGATAGGAGCAAGACGCGATTTCCAGCCCAACAGTCCAACATTGGCCGATAATGAAGTGCGTCCAGCTGCTTCCAGTATTGGTAATGCATGTTTCCGAGACCTCCGTTTGAACAACGCCTGGTATCCTCTCACTCAGGCAGAAATTAATGCTGCTGGCACCGAGGGTTACGTGACTAGTTTAAAAAGTTCCGGTAGCAATCGCGATGCCTGCTCCGATCTTACTCCCTGTCCATCTGACGCCCAATGTCCGGGCCAACTTAGCTGCGTTCCCACCTGGAAACCACCAAGCGGCTATATGTGTCTGTACGTTTGAATGTTTCACTCGGAAGGAGGTTTATTATTAGCCCTCAGGAGAACTGAAAGAGTCTAGCCATGACACCTGGATGGTGGTAGTTCCTACGGAAACTGGGGAGTTGAAGCGGATAAACACGAAATTTGACCAATAGCACCCTCCTTCCGGTCACTTTAACCGGAAAGAATCTCCTATTGAGTTAGTTGGGACTTCTGAGTATCTCTTCCGTGGGAAGTATGGCTGCTAGGCTATAGGCATGAACGGTAGGGCACAACACAATGATGGTGATTGGCACCGTGAAAACTGAATAGCCCGTGCATTTAAACAAATATTTTCAGCATCCATTCATTCTTCTTGACCACACTAGCAACGCTTCACTTGGGCGTAACCCGACCAATCGTGCTATGTCCACTCCACCAATCCCAATTAGAGTTGGCCTTTCAACTCAAAGGCTTGTTCAGCTTTGCATTTAATACCGTTAACTCTGCTTCCCGCGTCAGATGCAATCCTGGCTGCATTGAAGAACCTGGGAATAAGTGCTACTGCTTGGCAATTTGTTCGCGATTTCCCTGTCAGAACGGCGGTACCTGTAGGCCCTCGGCAAGGGATAGTCGAGGGTTTGTATGCATCTGTCCATCGACCCATTTTGGGCTGTTCTGTGAAGAGGAAGTCATGCTCTCTGGACTTACCGTTGGAGGCTTTGTGGGAATAGTGCTTGCGATTCTCTCATTCGTAGGTAAGATTTTCTTGGTCTAGTGATAATAGTCTATTAATATGTAAGTAAGCAATTTAGTCGCTTTGGAAAAGTTAAAAATTCTAAATCTTCGTAGATAAACGATCAGACCGACAGTACTTTCGTTTCTGTCTCACTTTAATTTTCTGACTGTCTATTCTGTCTCACATGTGGTTGACTAATGGTACTGTCAAGAAAATATCATCAGGAGAATATGGAGGGTGAGGAAAACACTGGAGATGAAACAGTATCTCCCTCTTGCATCATTTTATATTGCAAACTCTCTAATTCGTCAATTTTGCAGTGTGGGTCACAAGGCTCTGGGTTGACTTCCTAGTGCTTAACTAGCTCTAGCTCTTTCTCAAGAACAAAAAGAAGACGAAGTTTTCTCACAAAACTTGGAAGTACATCATATGGAGGAGAAAGGGCTCAGAATTAATTGATTGGCCATAAGCACACAAACGACTCTTCATGAACTATTTCCTCTACCAACCAACCGAACACAATCGAGTGCCTTAGAAGTGTGAGATGATGCGGTGCCATAGTGGGTCGTTCGGGGAGAATTAGTGATATAATCGTTCGCCTGACGACCGTTACACCTGATGTACGATCCACTTGTCATCACAAGTTGGTAAGACCATCAGACAGCCAGTCAGGCGGGCAGCAAATGATCCTTTCTGATGGTCTTTCAAGGTCGCTACCATCTGTTAATGTATGGCATTGGGACGAAGCCCATTTGCTTAATTATTTACACGAATATCTTGTCCTAGTTGATGTAGTTGTAAATAATCTGTTTCATCGCCCACATTGAACAGTGCTAAAAGCCTTCCACACTTTCACTCCTAATCACTTAAGCAACAGTGGTACGTTATTCTGCAGGGGGTCTTGGTGCACTGCATGTACTGCAGGAGCCCTACTGACTGCTTTTTGTGACTTCCATTAGAAACCTTACAAACTATTGTGTTTTCTTTATGCAGGACTGATAATCGGCGTGGCAATTTGGCGATATCACAGAAAACATGCACCTCCGCAAATCTCGCCGGACAAAGATCTTCGAGAGCACGTCATGCCGTATGCCGAACAAGCAGGTAGAGCCATCTACTCACTTTCTCTCAATGCTCTTAGTCAGCAGCATTGGTTATAGATGTTGCTTCCTTGCGACTCCATAGAGTCTATAACTCCATTTCAAGAAGTGTTGTCCTAGCGACACGAAGCTTGCTTTGTGATTTTCTATTTACCGCTGCAACCGTTTGGCTTATGCCAATGTTGCATTTGACTAAAAAAACAAATTTTCTTTTTGATAGTAGGCATTGTTTTGCAAGAATTTTGGCCGCTCAACCGTCCTCATTACCTTTTACCTTTGTGGGCTGTGTTGCAGTTGAACAAGACCTCCGTTTTCTTGCTGTCATTCTGTGGTAATGGCCAATGAAGTTCAAGTCTATCTGTTCCTTTCTGCGTTTTTATAAAGAGAGGAATGATCGAGTTTAGAGGACGGGAACCGTGTGCTTCTTTTAAAAAGCCTCTCCTCCCTACAACCATGCCCTCATGCCTGAGCCTAATTAGTGCCCTTGTGGGATGGCCAAACCGTTTAAGACAACCTGCCTCACTTCACCGTCGGTGTTGACATATTGATGAATTTACACGTTTTCTCTGCTTTGACGATCATTTTAATTCCACAGCAAATTTACGCGTCCAAATTTCATCACATGGAATGATGCTATCCCAGAAAACCATGTCTATCTATGACTAAACACTCCTTCAACCAATCGGTGCTATTCAAGAGGGGAAATTTGCCTTAGTACCCAGCGTACATGTGTGCGTTAACTTTTCAAAACTAAATGGTTGGGCTGTTGTCAATATTCTCCCAAAAGTATTCGTCTCCCCTGCGTAGGTCAGGCCTCCAGGGTCAAGGGAACTGTCGACTTGCAGGATAAATATCCACAGGTGTCACTACGATCGGGGTCTTCACCGAAATATGACCTTACAGCTGTATATGGGAATTGACACTGTCCATTGTCTTACTATCACCATACCCTAATGTACGCTTAGTTTTCTCATTGAACAGATGCCCACGGGTTCGTGTTTTGGGCCTCTGTTTACAAGAGACTTCGTTTATTATCCTACGAATACCGTCCATCATCTTGATTAACAGCAGCTGGACTGTGTGTTTTTCCACGGCATATGCAACCGTGTTAGTACCATAGCAGTGATTTGTCTTGAACTCCTTGACTGTCTCTCACAGTTTTGGACTTTTCTTTTTTTACAGGATTTTTTTAGAAAAAATCTAAAAATTGCTTTAGTGATACTAACTACGGTGGGAGGTGCTTTAAGCGATAAGGTGAAACTGCGTTCCAACATCTAGATTTAACGTTTTGTAAGGTCATGGCTGACTTTTAAATTTAATTGGTAATTGCCCACAAAAATAAACACATTGATTCCACTCCCCTTCTTCTCCTTCTTGTCATTCATTCCTACGATATGGCTTCAAAATTTACGGTAGTTCAGCTGGACAAAACGATCCTTCATCTATTGAAATACCCTACTTTTTCCCATTTAGATGAGATCGACACCCACAGTTTTGACGAAAGAATGTTTAACATGGCCACTTCTCCCAAACCAACAGTTCCACGTGAGTTGCCGTTACTTACCGCAAAGTTTTTGCACATTTTGCTGTCTGCCAATTTCAAACATAAGTGACTAGTGGAAAACCTGACCTAATGTGTCATCGTAGAACTGGAGCCTCAAGTCCCCCTCCCCTTAAGTGCTAGTAAGATGGAAAAAGTTTACCTAGCATACGGAGGACTCAGGAGGTTACAGACCGCGACCGGACAAGTGTCACCAAAACGGTGACTGTAGAAGTACATTAAAACAAATGCCAAGGCACCACCTTAATAGGCTGTAAAGTGGGACGATACCACTCATTTCCCATTTAAGAGAGGTAAGAATGCATAAGTAGGAAAAGTACCTAGGCTCTTCACTTTCCCCATCATTAGCTCAACTAACTAATTCCTATTAATCATGGGATTGGTTAGCAATACCGGCCATTTTAATTGACCTCTTGGATTCATCGCTCTCAGGTAGGTTCAGGTTTTTACCCTTGGCAGTGGTGGCAAATGGCTTTGGGGATCCTTATCTTTTATTACTTCCTTGGTTTTTAATGATATCTAGAGGCGATAAACCATGCTAAACTACTCATTCTTTTATTGGCTAAAACACTGGATCACGTAGAGCAAAGCTTCTTGCATGGAATGATTTAATATACTTCTCCGTTTAGTTGAGTCCTTTTGCCACTTTTATGAGTTAATTTTATGCATAAGCAAAAGTATCACTTTGGACATTTATGGAGCTTTGAGCCATCCCTGAAAGTGTAGCATGGGGGTGTGGGTTATGGAAGTTTATCATGAACGTGCACAGGCTCTAAAGCGCTATAAAGTTGACCGACACGCTATTGAAATGAAGTGACGGCGTAGTTACTATTTCCCTTCCTGAACTTTTATTTCATTTTATGACTTGAGGGGGAGGAACCCATTTCTTTAGTGGTTGGCACGCCTTCCACACCCCGATAGATGTAGGGTATGGAGAGATGGTTGCAATGCTGTCGATAAAAAGGGTGAAAGTTAACCACACTTTAATCCCGAGTTGCTTATTGGATGGGTGGACTTTGTGGACGTGATACACCTATAGCTGAATCACTCATTACCATGTTTGGGTGATACTTTTTTGTTTTTTCTGGCTCTAAAACAGACTTAAACTCAACTCGTAGAGCTAGTGACCTCGAATGACATCTCACGATATGAGGGTTTAAAGTCAGAAGAAGTCAGTTGGGAACACGGTAAAGGGTACTGCAAAATACGTTTTATAAGCTCCCATACCTTGAAACGAAGGAAATTTCCAGCTGTCTTACCCCACAACTTCTACTTAGTCTTTGTTTCGGAATGTTATTCGGTTAATTTTGGGACTTCCCCATAGTTAAAGAAACACCTTCTTCAATAAATATTGCATTTATCATGTGAACCACTCAATACCACTAAAAATGTTAGGATTGTCTGCAAATTTTTTGGGGTACTTTTCCCGAC